GGCCCGAGTCTAGGGAGGCTGGCATTCTGAGTCGGGCCCGAGTCTAGGGAGGCTGGCATTCTGAGTCGGGCCCGAGTAGACACGTTATCCCTTAAAAAAATGTATTGATTGATGTGTAGTGATGTAGGTTCTTGAGGGGCGCAAGTGGTTTGCAATCAACTGCTCGCCCAAAGGTTGGCAGTTTGAAGCCACCCAGGAGTCCTGCTGAAGAAAACTCTGGGCCCATGACAACCAAGCAAACCTCATGGAGCCGGGGCACCATCACCCCTGGAGCCACTGGGGCAGAAGGCAGCGTGATGGCCCAGGACTTGGGTTTGGGTCTCTTGGGTGCAGTTGGGGTTTTTACATCACCCCCAAAAGCTCCCTTCAGTTCCTCCAGGGGGCCTGCACCATGGCTGCCTTTAACCTGTTCTTACTCTTCATATAGACTGAGTCATCCTCTGTGAGCCTGAGCCAGATTTTATTCTTAGTAACCATCCCCCCTCCCCCGCAGAATAGCATCTCCCCTGTGTTTCTGCCTGGGAGGCTTCTGTTGCTCACCCCATGTGACCCCTCTAGCTGGGACCCCTCAAGCTCTGATGTCACTCTGCACTCTGATGTCCCTCCCAAGGGCCATTCTCGCTAGGGGTCTGTTTGCTGAGTCTGCCTGTTTCCTTCTGCACCCTCAGGAGCATGGAGCTGGTCAGGTCCGCCCTTTACTGCTGTGCACCCTGCTGTGCCGCCTGACAGCTGCCTGTCCCTTCTGCACCTCAGTTGCCCGCACTGTACAATGGGGACGATGCTATGAGGGGTTGGCTGGGACAGGTGGACGTGCCTCTGCGGCTGCTGCCCTGGTCACAGGAGCAACTGGGGCTGCAGGAGGGTGCAGGGCGAGGAGGGAAGGGGCAGCATTCATCCATCCTCCCCCCTCCTCCCTCTCCTCCCCACACACCCCAGGTGGGCCTGGTCAGCGGCATCTGCATCATCGTGGGCACCATCATCGGCTCGGGCATCTTCATTTCTCCCAAGTCTGTGCTCAGCAACACGGAAGCTGTGGGGCCCTGCCTCATCATCTGGGCCGCCTGCGGGATTCTTGCCACCCTGGGTAACAGGCCCGGCCCCGGACAGGGCGGCGCAGGGCAGACTACCGGTCCTTGCTGCCGCTGGTCCCCCGTCCATGCCGCAAATGCCTGTGGATTTGGCTGTGACCCGACTGCCCCACGGCCAGGACTCAGGGTGGTTCCAGGAGAGGGCTGCGGGGTGGGGTGGGGGTGGAAGGCTTGTGAGCAGGGTTCTCCCGGAAGAGAGGCGACACCTCCCTGTCCCCTTATGTCTCAGGTGCTTTGTGCTTTGCGGAACTCGGCACCATGATCACCAAGTCAGGGGGCGAATACCCGTACCTGATGGAGGCCTTCGGGCCCATCCCCGCCTATCTCTTCTCCTGGACCAGCCTCTTCGTCATCAAGCCCACCTCCTTTGCCATCATCTGCCTCAGTTTCTCCGAGTATGTCTCCGCGCCCTTCTATGCGGGCTGTGAGCCCCCCCAGGTCGTGGTGAAGTGCCTGGCCGCCGCCGCCATCTGTGAGTAGCCCTGCCAGAGCCCCACACCCAGAGGACGCTCGCCCGGGTCTCCGAGTTCCCAACACGCAGGGTGGGAGAGGGTGGGGGGGGGGA